TGGGTCACAATGCATTGTAACAGTATGAGGGGATTAGGGGATTAGGAGGGAGGATTAGGAAAATTGGATTAGGGAGGGAGGGGTTAAATAGGGACAATGGCATAGGGGGTAAAGAAATGGGGGAACAGGGGTGGGAGGGGGGAGGGGGGGAGGTGATTCACTCCTGGTGTGGTCGTCTGGACAGAGCGAATCCGGATTTAATTGGATTTATTCTGTTTGCCAAAACGTTCCAACACGCTCGTTGTCAAAGTCATCTCTTGGCCTCATGTGTGTGTGTGTGTGTGTGTGGGGGGGGGGATGGACTATGTTTGTTGGGTACTTGACGGGTATGAGTCATTATATTGACGGGTACGAGTCATTATATTGACGGGTACGAGTCATTATATTGACGGGTATGAGTCATTATATTGACGGGTACGAGTCATTATATTGACGGGTACGTGTCATTATATTGACGGGTACGAGTCATTATATTGACGGGTACGAGTCATTATATTGACGGGTACGAGTCATTATATTGACGGGTATGAGTCATTATATTGACGGGTATGAGTCATTATATTGACGGGTATAAGTCATTATATTGACGGGTATGAGTCATTATATTGACGGGTACGAGTCATTATATTGACGGGTACGAGTCATTATATTGACGGGTACGAGTCATTATATTGACGGGTACGAGTCATTATATTGACGGGTACGAGTCATTATATTGACGGGTACGTGTCATTATATTGACGGGTACGTGTCATTATATTGACGGGTACGTGTCATTATATTGACGGGTACGTGTCATTATATTGACGGGTACGAGTCATTATATTGACGGGTACGTGTCATTATATTGACGGATATGAGTCATTATATTGACGGGTACGTGTCATTATATTGACGGGTATGAGTCATTATATTGACGGGTACGAGTCATTATATTGACGGGTACGTGTCATTATATTGACGGGTACGAGTCATTATATTGACGGGTACGAGTCATTATATTGACGGGTACGTGTCATTATATTGACGGGTACGTGTCATTATATTGACGGGTACGAGCCATTATATTGACGGGTTTTTTTTAGTTTAGTTCATTTATTATGCACCCCATACCCATCTTGTGGGCGGTAGTGGAAAGGGTTACAGAGGCACATAATGGGCTCAGGGACTGAACCCCACAATTCATTTAGCTAAGCAAGTTACAATCTTGATGAGCTAGTTACAAAATTCAATATAAGTCATCACATCAACAATGGGTTCGAGATCGACCTCAAGTACAGGTTCTAAATTAAGCAACTGACATATGTGGAGAGCTAGTGTCAAAATTTATATGTTTGTCCTGCACACCGCCCCCCCATCCAGTGGGCAGCGGTGGATAGGTTACAATCACTTAGTTACTACCTACAGTTAGCAAACTGGGGATATTTGGCTAAAATTTCTGGTAGCAGATCATTTTGAATGAAATATTGACACATCGCTGGAACATTGGTTATAGAATTGTCTCTAAATTCACGTATCTTTTCGCACTCCATCACATAGTGACGGAGGGTGTGCGAATAATTTTGTTGACACAGTTTACATTTGGTCAGGTCTACATCAGCAGATAATGAGAATTCCCAGAGATACTTGTAACCGAGTCTAAGCCGAGCAGTAGTAACATCTAGAAGTCTGCTGATTTTATTGGATGATCCATAGATGTGTGGCTCCTCTTGCATGATAGTATGATGATAGATGGAATTACTGGTGTCAATTTCACTTTGCCTCAGATCTACAAGATCTTGTTGAAGTTCTCGGTGTACAGCTGCTCTCAGATTGCTCATTGACAATCCAAGGTTACACTCAACGGCTCCTTTAAAGGCAGATTCTTTGGCTAACTTATCAGCTCTATCATGCATTCGGAGGCCAACATGAGATGGAGACCACATGAAATGGACTCTGTTACCATCCTTAGTAATTTTGTTGTATTTGTGTCTAGCTTCGGACACGAGCATGTTACAGTTATGTCTTAAAGAGTTGAGAGCATTTAAGGATGATAAGGAGTCACTTACAATTAATGTATCAAGTTTTGAGACTTGTACACATTTCAGTGCAAGGATCAAGGCAAATAGTTCAGTCTGACGGGTACGAGTCATTATATTGACGGGTACGTGTCATTATATTGACGGGTACGTGTCATTATATTGACGGGTCCAGTGGCTCTTGACCGTACATGTGATTATTGACGGATATATGTGATTCTTTGACAGGTATGAAATATTCCGTTGACGATTCCAGGAGCTAATGTTCGACCCTGCAAGCACAAATAGGTGAGTACACTCTTACAATCAGTTTGTTGGTGTTTTAAATTCAGCTACTTAGAACATAAGTCCCAAAGTAGCACGGGCTATGGTGATCCCGTAGTGGACTTACCTGGCACAGGAGCGGGGCAAGTAGCACGGGCTATGGTGAGCCCGTAGTGGACTTACCTGGCACAGGAGCGGGGCAAGTAGCACGGGCTATGGTGAGCCCGTAGTGGACTTACCTGGCACAGGAGCGGGGGCAAGTAGCACGGGCTATGGTGAGCCCGTAGTGGACTTACCTGGCACAGGAGCGGGGCAAGTAGCACGGGCTATGGTGAGCCCGTAGTGGACTTACCTGGCACAGGAGCGGGGCAAGTAGCACGGGCTATGGTGAGCCCGTAGTGGACTTACCTGGCACAGGAGCGGGGCAAGTAGCACGGGCTATGGTGAGCCCGTAGTGGACTTACCTGGCACAGGAGCGGGGCAAGTAGCACGGGCTATGGTGAGCCCGTAGTGGACTTACCTGGCACAGGAGCGGGACTGTAACTGTCCTACAAACTGTATTCATAGTTTTAAAAGTAGATATGATGGGGAAATTGGACAGGTATCATTGTATTAACTAGTAACTAGAAAGGCGGGGGCCAAGAGCTAGCAGCTCGATCCTGCGGGCACAAATAGGTGAGAAGACATAGGGCTCTAGGGTCATTGTCTTAAGGGCCCGGGTTTGATTCCCGGCCGAGGCACAAATAAATGGGCAGAGTTTCTTTCATTCTGATGCATCTGTTCACCCATTCATTCACATATCGTTCGTTAATTAATGAAGGTAGACTAATAGTAAATGTAGAGTAGAGGACTAATCACATTAGTACTAATTAGAGTACTAATTACTAATCATAATTCAGTGTGATTAGAGTACTAATCATACTGAGCAGTCAAGAACAGAGAACAAACTCCTTATGAACAGTCAAGAACAGAGAACAAACTCCTTATGAACAGTTAAGAACAGAGAACAAACTCCCTATGAACAGTCAAGAACAGAGAACAAACTCCTTATGAACAGTCAGGAACAGAGAACAAACTCCTTATGAACAGTCAAGAACAGAGAACAAACTCCTTATGAACAGTCAACAACAGAGAACAAACTCCTTATGAACAGTCAAGAACAGAGAACAAACTCCTTATGAACAGTCAAGAACAGAGAACAAACTCCTTATGAACAGTCAAGAACAGAGAACAAACTCCTTATGAACAGTTAAGAACAGAGAACAAACTCCCTATGAACAGTCAAGAACAGAGAACAAACTCCCTATGAACAGTCAAGAACAGAGAACAAACTCCTTATGAACAGTCAAGAACAGAGAACAAACTCCTTATGAACAGTTAAGAACAGAGAACATACTCCTTATGAACAGTCAAGAACAGAGAACATACTCCTTATGAACAGTCAAGAACAGAGAACAAACTCCTTATGAACAGTTAAGAACAGAGAACAAACTCCCTATGAACAGTCAAGAACAGAGAACAAACTCCTTATGAACAATCAAGAACAGAGAACAAACTCCTTATGAACAGTCAAGAACAGAGAACAAACTCCTTATTAACAATCAAGAACAGAGAACAAACTCCTTATGAACAGTCAAGAACAGAGAACATACTCCTTATGAACAGTCAAGAACACGACAAATCCCTCAAGAAAACGCAAGAACAGGCTACCACAAACTTCAAGAAGGTATGTAGGGTCCTTCCTACATGGAACATGTAGGAAGGACCCTACATACCTTCTACTACACACATGAATGTATGTAGAATGTACTATCCTTGAAGACCCGAGGTAAATATGTCCTATGAAGGGAATATCAGCGCATGGAGGGATAGGTAGCCGGCCCGGAGGCAATAAAGGTTCTCGCTTGACGCTTTGTTTACATCATGTCAACATGTCCAGCTGAGGGGAAGAAATTGAAATAAGTTTATTGATGTAAAATACACACAAAGGGATGAGGTAGCTCAAGCTATTCTCACCCCGTTCAGTACATCGTGTTAATACATACATAGACACACATCACAAACAATAAACATATTACCCAACATTCTGAGAGATAAATGTATACATTTCCTGCTGGGGAAAAGAGGTAACCAGCAAAATATAAACATAAGGGGTGACTAAAACTAAAGTGTAAACTAACAAAAAATGGGAATTTTATCCATTTGGGTAATGTTGATATTGTATATCTTTTGCGTCAGGTCATTTTGGCGTTGATGAAGTATATTTTGCGTCGGAATTTTGGTATTCATGAAGAATATTTTGTGAATTTTTTCACTAGTAAGATCTAGTATTCAAGAACGAATCTTGGAATATTCTTTCATGGAGACCAGTTCTTGAAGATTAGTTCCTGGAGATTAGGTCTTATAGATGGGGTTTGCATAAAATTATGGCACCAGATTGGCACTCTGCAGCATTCTTATTTCACTGTTTTTCCCCTGAAAATAAATTTTCCCAAAATGGTATTTGTTTAAGCACTGGTCTGAGGTTCCATGACGCCAAAGGCGAGCCATGAACGTGTATATATGTAAATTTCAACTTTATTACCTTGCAGACTCCAGGCGTACCGGTTTCCGTCCCAGTAATCCGGATGGCATAGGTTTAACCTTCATTGTATCCGGATTTGACCGGCGGGAACATCGTCACTGCTAGAGGTGGTTCGCCTTGCCTCATGGCAAGGTCTATCCCGTGCTGTGGGACATCCCGGGACGTTGGGGCGTGCTGTGGGACATTCTGGGACGTTGGAGGCGTGCTGTGGGACATTCCGGGACGTGCTGTGGGACATTCTGGGACGTTGGGACGTGCTGTGGGGCATTCTGGGACGTTGGAGGCGTGCTGCGGGACATTCTGGGACGCTGGAGGCGTGCTGTGGGACATTCTGGGACGTTGGAGGCGTACTGTGGGGCATTCTGGGACGTTGGGGCGTGCTGTGGGACATCCCGGGACGTTGGGGCGTGCTGTGGGACATTCTGGGACGTTGGAGGCGTGCTGTGGGACATTCCGGGACGTGCTGTGGGACATTCTGGGACGTTGGGGCGTGCTGTGGGGCATTCTGGGACGTTGGGGCGTGCTGTGGTACATCCCAGGACGTTGGGGCGTGCTGTGGAACATTCTGGGACGTTGGGGCGTGCTGTGGGGCATTCTGGGACGTTGGGGCGTGCTGTGGTACATCCCAGGACGTTGGGGCGTGCTGTGGAACATTCTGGGACGTTGGGGCGTGCTGTGGGGCATTCTGGGACGTTGGGGCGTGCTGTGGGACATCCCGGTACGTTTGGGTGTGCTGTGGGACATTCTGGGACGTTGGGGCGTGCTGTGGGACATTCTGAGACGTTGGGGCGGGCTGTGGGATATCCCGGGACGTTGGGGCGTGCTGTGGGACATTCTGGGACGTTGGGGCGGGCTGTGGTACATCCCGGGACGTTGGGGCGTGCTGTGGGACATTCTGGGACGTTGGGGCGTGCTGTGGGACATTCTGGGACGTTGGGGCGTGCTGTGGGACATCCCGGCACTTTGGCTGTAACGGAACTGAATGTTGCATTTCATAAGAAAAACATAAGAACAAAGGTAACTGCAGAAGGTCTATTGGCCCACACGAGGCAGCTCCTTGATTGATTGTTGCCGCCGAAGGCGGCTAGTTTATTGTGCACCCCATACTCATCCTGTGAGCGGTAGCGCAAAAGCATTACAGAGGGCACAAAAGGTTTTTATCAGACCTCATCTTAGATTATTACATAAACAATTTCATCTATCCTTCACACCTTATAGTTACAATGTCAGCTAGTTACAGAGGAAGTGCTATTTCAAGAGCTATATATTTACAGTAAGTCATCATACATTAATGGTAGGTCTTATCGCTAATACATAATAGTTTGACCAATGGGGATATTACAGAGTCATAGGGCAGCTTCTGTTTATTATTAGTCCTCACAATACACTACTTGTTTCTGAATCTCATATGTCGTTCATCTACTGGAAGCGAAATGTGGGTACAGTGCAAGGATTTCAGGTAATTTATCCATGGTAATAAGATAAGGGCAGCTCCTATTTATAACCATCCAATCCCACTCATACACATGTCCATCCCACGCTTGAAACAATCGAGGGACCCCACCTCCACCACGTTACGCGGTAATTGGTTCCACAAATCAACAACCCTGTTACCGAACCAGTATTTACCCAGGTCTTTCCTAAATCTAAGCTTATCCAATTTATTCTCAATGTTTCGTGTTCTGTCTTGTGTTTATACTTTTAATACCCTATCAATATCCCCTTTGCTATGTCCATTCATTACTTGTACACCTCTATCATGTCACCCCTAACTCTTCGCCTTTCTAGAGGATGTAATTTAAGCTTTGTCAATCTTCATATGACAGGTTTTTAATTTGGGGAATTAACTTTGTCATCCTACGCTGGACACGTTCAAGTGAATTTATATCCATTCTATAGTACAGTGACCAAACTAACTGCATAATCTAAATGGGGCCTAACCTGAGTAAAATAAAAACTTAACTTTTTTCATGAGGGAATCATTCCAGTTCCGATTGGGGAGGGAGAGGGAGAGAGGGTGAGAGAGAAGGAGGGAGGGAGAGAGGAAGGGAGGGAGAGAGGGAGAGAAGGAGGGAGAGAGGGAGAGAGAGAGGGAGGGAGGGGGAATTCAATCCTGGAGCTGTGGACTTTCCGCCCATAACCCAGTGTAAACAATCATCCCGGGCTGAGAGACTGCAGAATTTAATTTCAATATCCTTGTGAGACTGGTCAGTGGTGGGGATACACCTGTGTTGGGGGGGGAGTGCCAAGTGTGGGGGGGGAGTGCCAAGTGTGGGGGGGAGTGCCAAGTGCGGGGGAGTGCCGCCTCTGCCCCGGCTTTCCCCTATGCCAGTTGAGGAGGGCTTTCCATAGTACCAGTAATGGGGGGGGGGGACTGTTTCATAGTGCCAGTAGAGGGCCCAACGTCAAGACACTATCATACTAAAGTGCCTTTATCCTACCAGAGAACCCAAAACAGAAAACGGGACAGAACGTTACTTTTGCCAGGCGCTTCCATTTTCTAGTACGACAACTTTTGGCCTTATGTAAAGTAATGCATCAAAATGCGACGCGCTATTAGGAGGCCGGATTGACAGACCGGCCGCTGTCAAGACAACACGAAACAATGGGTATAAATTGGATAAGTTTATATTTAGGAAAGACCTGGGTAAATACTGGTTCGGTAACAGGGTTGTTGATTTGTGGAACCAATTACCGCGTAACGTGGTGTAGGTGGGGTCCCTCGATTGTTTCAAGCGCGGGTTGGACATATATATGAGTAGTATTGGGTGGTTATAAATAGGAGCTGCCTCGTGTGGGCCAATAGGCCTTCTGCAGTTACATAAGAACAAACGAACAAGGTAATTGCAGAAGGCCTATTGGCCTATACGAGGCAGCTCCTATTTATAACCACCCAATCCCACTCATATCCATGTCCAACCCACACTTGAAACAATCGAGGGACCCCACCTCCACCACGTTACGCGGTAATTGGTTCGACAAATCAACAACCCTGTTACCGAACCAGTATTTACCCAAGTCTTTCCTAAATTTAAACTTATCCAATTTATACCCATTGTTTCGTGTTCTGTCTTGTGTTGATACTTTTAATACCTTTGTTCTTACGTTCTCAAGTGTAGACGGGACTTCCCACACCCGCAGCCAAAGAGTTCCCGAGTATCAAACACATTTACCGGAGGTAATGTGAGGAGCCAAGACGCCCTCAAGCACAGGACACCGATGCTGCGCAAAGAGAAGCAGAAGCCAAGGCCATGTCGGGACGACCCTCAACATTTACGTGAACTTTGGACTTAAACACAGACATATTGTGACTGCTTTCACGCAGGGAGAGTCCCAGTCCAGGTAAAAAAGCACGTATAGGCCTTTTAAGCAATTGTGTAAGTCCCTTCAAAGTTACTGAGTTAATTGACTTGAGAATGGTCCAGGACGGATCGAAACGTCGTCGTCCCTTCACCTTCTAGTGTGTGTGGTCTGGTCAACATACTTCAGCCACGTTTTTGTGACTCATCGCCTGCTTACTGGGTTAATGGTTTGGTGTTGGACTTAAGGTCTATCAACCTCTGGAGGGTTATTAAGACCACCACAATACCTTACTGACCAACCAGCAAGTTTGGTGTTGGACTTAAGGTCTATCAACCTCTGGAGGGTTATTAAGACCACCACAACACCTTACTGACCAACCAGCAAGTTTGGTGTTGGACTTAAGACCTATCAACCTCTGGAGGGTTATTAAGACCACCACAATACCTTACTGACCAACCAGCAAGTTTGGTGTTGGACTTAAGACCTATCAACCTCTGGAAGGTTATTAAGACCACCACAATACCTTACTGACCAACCAGCAAGTATACCATAGTCCTGAATATAGCCCAGGAGTAAAGTAAACTCTGAGTTTACACCTAAAGTGGGGGTACCCCTACCAGTATGCATACCCACCCTTGTGAGAGCCTTCAGGACTAAGGGACCCTTCGGCACTTCACCTCGTCTGAAGGGTACCAGGTAAACCGGCCATTTACTCATTGTAAACTCACTCCGCGGGCTGTAGGGTGACACTCTGGCCTCGTCGTGAATGTAAACTGCTTCCCGGTGTCTGGGACAGGAAGCCTGCGCTCACATTTATCATGCTTCTCCTTAGGATATGAGGACAAGGAGCTGGGATATGAGGACAAGGAGCTGGGATATGAGGACAAGGAGCTGGGGTATGAGGACAAGGAGCTGGGATATGAGGACAAGGAGCTGGGGTATGAGGACACGGAGCTGGGATATGAGGACAAGGAGCTGGGGTATGAGGACAAGGAGCTGGGATATGAGGACAAGGAGCTGGGGTATGAGGACAAGGAGCTGGGATATGAGGACAAGGAGCTGGGATATGAGGACAGGGAGCTGGGATATGAGGACAAGGAGCTGGGATATGAGGACAAGGAGCTGGGATATGAGGACAAGGAGCTGGGATATGAGGACAAGGAGCTGGGATATGAGGACAAGGAGCTGGGATATGAGGACAAGAAGCTGGGACATGAGGACAAGGAGCTGGGACATGAGGACAAGGAGCTGGGATATGAGGACAAGGAGCTGGGATATGAGGACAAGGAGCTGGGACATGGGGACAAGGAGCTGGGATATGAGGACAAGGAGCTGGGATATGAGGACAAGGAGCTGGGATATGAGGACAAGGAGCTAGGACATGAGGACAAGGAGCTGGGATATGAGGACAAGGAGCTGGGATATGAGGACAAGGAGCTAGGACATGAGGACAAGGAGCTGGGATATGAGGACAAACTACTGGGATATGAGGACAGGGATACAGGATCCATTGTGTATCTACCCAACCACTTGTACCATCGGGGATCGAACGCCGACCCTGGAAGATACAAAAATCGTAGCTCTACCCACCACTCCAAGTCCACGATCAAGGCACCGTTGGCTGCCCTGTTTATCCGTGCCAGAGAAGAGTGCCATTTAGTGCCTCTCGTCATCAGAGCTGTTAAGGATTTCCCCGCAAGTTGATCTTCCTCCCCCCCACACACACACACACACACACACACACACACACACACACACACACACACACACACACACACACACACACACACACACAAACACACACACACAAACACACACACCTCAGGAATCTGTACACCAGTTGATTGACAGTTGAGAGGCGGGACCAAAGAGCCAAAGCTCAACCCCCGCAAGCACAATTAGGTGAGTTAGGTGAGTACGCATTTTCTTAGATTGTCGGAAAGCCTTTGACACAGTACCGCATAAGAGGCTGGTACATAAGCTGGAGAGACAGGCAGGTGTAGCTGGCAAGGTGCTCCAGTGGATAAGGGAATACCTAAGCAATAGGAAGCAGAGAGTTACGGTGAGGGGTGAGACCTCCGATTGGCGTGAAGTCACCAGTGGAGTCCCACAGGGCTCTGTACTCGGTCCTATCTTGTTTCTGATATATGTAAATGATCTCCCGGAGGGTATCGATTCATTTCTCTCAATGTTTGCGGACGATGCTAAAATTATGAGAAGGATTAAAACAGAAGAAGACTGTTTGAGGCTTCAAGAAGACCTAGACAAGCTGAAGGAATGATCGAACAAATGGTTGTTAGAATTTAACCCAACCAAATGTAATGTAATGAAGATAGGTGTAGGGAGCAGGAGGCCAGATACAAGGTATCATCTGGGAGAGGAAATTCTTCAGGAGTCAGAGAAGGAAAAAGACTTGGGGGTTCATATCACGCCAGACCTGTCTCCTGCAGAACATATCAAGAGGATAACATCAGCGGCATATGCCAGGCTGGCCAACATACGAACAGCATTCAGAAACTTGTATAAAGAATCATTCAGAACTTTGTATACCACATATGTCAGTCCAATCCTGGAGTATGCAGCCCCAGCATGGAGTCCATATCTAGTCAAGGATAAGACTAAACTGGAAAAGGTTCGAAGGTTTGCTACCAGACTAGTACCCAA